TTTTTTTCTTTCAATGATAATCCAATCATAATTGAATTTTGCAAAGCTTTCGCTTACTGCTTTTGCCGGTTGGTAATTAGAACGGTTATGGGAATCGTGTGTTAATTACACTATTCTCGCGTCATTATAAATTTTTAATTGTCAACAGACTTTCTACTCTCCATGTTGTTGTGAGGAATTGGTACGCTGATAATTGTACAGGATGGCAGAGAGGTCTGATTATTTCTAGCGGACATTGTTTGTTGGCGGTAAATTTATATACATGACAGGATAGCTTCAAGCGTAAATTGTGTGTTGAGGTTTTAAGGAAGAAGGAAGGATAAAAATGGAGAGAAGAATAAGAGAAATGGAAAAGTTAGGAAACGTTAAGCTTGTGGGTACTCTTAAAAGAGCTTACACATTATGAGAAGAGAAAAAGAGAAGGGGAAAAAGAGAGTGAGGGTTCATAATGTAATTAAAGAACGGTATATTCTAGGTCATAAAATTTCACATGTAATATTACGGTTTAATGACGGACGGCTTTTAATAAAGGATTATGATATGCTCGTTAAATCATACGTCAAGGGGAAACTTTTCCATTTTGGTGCATTAGGATTGATCGTGTTCGTGCGATTCGTACAACTGTTAATCACAACGGAAGAAAACTTTGTGATGCCTTATCAGTTTAACTCGTTATCAATGATAGTACCTAATGATAGGCTAATTTTCGTTTAACCCTTTTCATTTTTCACATTGGAAACTGAGAGAGAGACCATGAAGAGAACAAAAATGAAAGATAGAAAGAAAGAGAAAGAGAGAAGGACGTATTCGTTTTCTAATGATGATTGATCTTCGTTTTGTAACTCTTTAATAGTCCGTATCTACTAACGCGTGTTTCATGTTCGTCTCCTCGAAAACGTTTGCTTCAAAATAGAAATAAGAGCATAGCAATGATACGAAGTTGACGCGTTGTTCCATTATCCTGACGAGACATCATATCGATGCCATTTATCGAACTTTCCACGTGATACTCGTTTTTCCACCTTTTCTTATTTCTTTTTCGACAACGAGAGCGAGAACTACTACTACTACCACTATGACTACGATTACGACTACGATATAACTGCTGATTAAGATAAAATTGTAAAATCGATAGGGGCCCCTCCACCTTCCTCTCGCCCCCTATCCGCCTAGCGAAAGCGTACGATCGGCGTACACGGCGAAGGAAACAGGAGTAAAAAAAGAAAAAAAAAAGTATAAAAAAAGTAAAAAGTCTCGTCGGCCCCCTGAAAGGATGTCTTCCATTAAAAATGCTTTTAGGACGAACTTCGCAACCCGATAAAGCGATATTTGGTCTTCCTAATGACATAGCTGATTGTACGGCACTTTGTAACAACGAGAGCGAAAGGGGGAGAAGGAAAAGAAGGAAGAGGGAAGGGAAAGGGGAAACGAAGAAAAATAAAACTCTAAAGAAAGAGAGGGAAAGGAGAATAGAAAGAGAGATATAACGAATAAGAGAGAGAGTAAAATAGGGAATTTTGCTGCTCTGTGGTGCTTTTTCTTTCTCTCTTTCGTATAAGAAGAAAGGTATGAAGAACGAAGAAAACGAAATAAAGGCTCGTTCACATTGAATCATGAGCCTCGAGAAGCCGAACTAAGGTCAGACCATGGTCTACGCCCATCCACGCCTATTTCGTGTATTGGTAATAGCGTAAAGTGCTCCTCTCAAAGTAATAGAGCCTCGAAGACCCTTTAAGTGACGTTCGGCACTTTACGATCGCTCTCTTCTTCTTTCTTTTTCTTTCTGTACTCCTCCTCCTACTCCATCCTTTCTCTCTTTCTCTCATCAGAGAGTTCTCTTGCGGTCTCTATATTTTTACATGATATAAAAGAGCAAAGTATCGTTTAGGATCATAGCTTCCTTGGTTCGACTTGTCTTCCTTTTTTTCTTTTTTGTTTCTTTTTTATTGCTCACTCGATAATCTCCGTTAAATAAAAAAGTATCTCTTGAATATCAATCTCGAAGAGTTTCATTATTGGAGAAGGCACATTTAATTGAAATATGACAACATTTCTTGCCACCTGTATACGGATATATATGAAAGAAGAAGAAGAAAAAGAATATGTCACGCTAACTAGATAATTCTTCTCGATAAATGGAATTATATTCGTGAAAAGTCAAACCAAGCGTTCGCATGTATAGGAAGAAATGCAAGGAAGAAGAAGAAGAAGAAGACGAAGAAGAAGTTAAAAGTAGAAGTAGAAGAAGAGGGTAATACGAATCTTGGTGAGTTTCTTTGAGGAGACTTGCCGTTCTTATTTTGCGCCGAATCGAAATGCACGAAGAGTTTCTTTCAACGGTTGTCTCTCTCTTCGTCTGTGCTGCTTTTGGCTCGACATTTCCTATACAGAGAATCCTACGATGCTCGCTTTCTTCGTAACACTTCCTGTTCCTCCTTTCCTCTCTCTCTCTCTCTCTCTCTCTCTCAACTTCTCCTTATCCTTCTATAATTATCTTTTACTTCTTCCTTCCACGGTTAAAAAAAAAGAGGAAAAAAAAGAGAAGGAAAATATATATAAAAACTTGCGGCAGTTTTCAACGACTTGCTAGGAGAATTTTTTTTCTTTTTTTTTGTTCTTCTTCTCTTCTTCTTCTTGGTTTAATTTTTGTTTTGTTTATTTTTTTCATGATACTTTCTTTATAAGTTCTCTATACTTCGAGTTTATCACTTTTTTTATTGAAAATTTTATTCGAAGCCATTGCATTCGATTTTCTCATGCATTTATCACACCCGCTTTAACGACGTGATATTTATCAAACCTTTTTCTTTTAATCTTTTATCTATTACGAAAGATTATTTTCAGAAATTGTACAATCACGATTTTAAGCGTTATCTCGAAAAGAAAGTAAATAGAAACGATTAATCGAAATAACGTAAATACAGGAAATAAACGTGTACTTAGGCTCGAAGTATCGTAACGAGATTACAGTAGATATGAAAATGATATTAGATCCGACGATGGCACTTTTAGTCGTAAAAAAAAAAGAAGAGAAAGAGAGAAAGAGAGAGAGAGAGAGAGAGAGAGAGAGAGGGACAGAGGGAGAAAGAAGAACAAAGATTCGCGTGCATTATGCATTATTCAATATATCATTAAAGCTTCATTTTGAAATATGTACCAACACGAAATATGTTCTTAACGACGTTAAGATGATAGTTATGCGAATATACGTGATGTGCTAACAATAGGATTTATGTACGTAAATATATAATGCACATATTTATTTTAAAAATATAAAAATACATTTTACGTATTCATGAGACAAGTTATCTATGTATACATACATACATACATACATACATACATTTATATACATATACATATTTAGACTTTAGAGAATAAAGAAGGAAGTTCACGTTTTACCTTGGAGCAGAACTTCTCAATTTCCTGATCGACTTTTCAGATACAAAGTAAGCGTATTCTCGATAGAGCTCGTAATAAGCTTGTCTGAACGTTCCTTCTCGATGACGTTGCAATACTCATTCTCTCTCTCTCTCTTTTTCTTCCCTTTTTCTCATTTTTTCCTTTCTTATTCTTTCAATCTATCCCATGATAGATCACGATAGCGACGATAGTAAAAGAGATAGATAAAAATAAAAAAAAAGTCGAGATAAAGACAGAAGGGAAAATAGGGAAAGGAGAAGGAGGAAGGGGAGAGTGTTGAAGGGTTGAAAGTGAAGAAGAAGTGATCGCACCTCGTAGATACTTGAGTCCTCCTCTGAATCATCCTGAAAACTGAATTTTCTTCGCGAATACTGCAAAGTGCTACGTAAAAGACGGGGCTAACTCTGTTCCGCGAGACTTCTTCGATCCTAGGGTTCGAAAGTAGAAGAAAAAGAATAAGAGTGAAATAGATAGAGAGTAAATTCTCTGAAACTTGGTGTCTCCCCTACGGAAGGTTAAATCACCGTGAACGTATTTATATGAAATTTTAGAGGAAAAAATTCAAGGAGTATTTTGCGAAATATCTGTTCATGATCCGAATCCGAAGGATAAAGAGGAATTTTTTCTGATGGACGAGATGATCATTTTTATCGTCGATAAAATTTGCCAATTTGAAGTATTGTTCAATCGTGCGGATGGTCGAGCACATATACAGGGTATCCTCTAGTAATTTTTTTTTTTTATGCAAAATTTTACTAACAAATTCAATCAGCAATTTCTAGTAAACAATTAAAAAAATAATATGCTACATAAAACGTGCTGGTGCTTAAAATGCTTTATTAAAAAAAGTTACGAAGGTCTCCAACGAAATAACTATTATTGTTCGAGTTATTTTTACACGTAGAATCATTTCCAGTCTAGTTACACCGTTCGTATAGACCCTGTATATATGTAAATACGTACGTGCTTACTTTCTCACAGAGGTACAATGAAAGAAAATTCTATT